CACAAGAGAAGGGGGAAGGGAAGAGGTACTGAGTCACATCCCGATTTGAGCATTCAATGCATTCAATAGCCACGGATCGCAATGTAGCGGATCGATATAATGTCTTAATTTAATCCGAAACAGGATCAGAAGCGCGTTGTCCCACGAGAAGAACGATGGTTTTATCTAAGCAGAATATACCGTTAAAAAAAATGATGGCGACGAATTACTTGTAGAATAATTTTTAAACTGTATTCTAATATATTTTAACAAAGATTCCGTTTTTGAACTTTAAACTTTATTTTCAGCAACGTTATGCCGATGGCACAGGGGGGAAAAGCTACCAAGAGTTAGCTCAACTGCGTCCGGCGCCCTTGCACGTACACGAAATGCATGAATAAAAAACGATCATATTTAACCATTCCTAATAATTACACAAAAGAACTGAACACATTTCATACAAATTTCTACCAAAACAATTGAAAACATTTCTAGAAAATTCCCACCGAAGCTAGCCTATTTACCTACTCAAAACAAAAAAGTGCGCACTGTATTTTTTTTTATTTTTTTATTTATAAAATGAATTTTAGTGTGGTTCATCCAAATGTTGTTAACCAGTGTAGGTAGGTTATGAGTAAGAGACTGCAGTGCATAATTTGTACGGAAATGAGGAACGTTACAGAATTCTCTTTGACGAACATCGATGATTTATTCGCGTTTAATAAATTCGCTAGATCCATAAAAAAAAGTAACTCCGAAGTTGAAAAGGCGTAAGCAAATAACAAACGATAGTCATAAACACTGAAAATGTTCAAGACACTGTAGCTCAAAATCGTGGTTCGGCATGTGGCGTATGGAACATTTGCAATAAAACGAAGCATTGTTTGTCTGAAGAATCATTAGTTTGTTGATATTATCTTTTGTCGTTGTGCCCCACACTAAATGGCAGTAGTTAATCTCTCTGAGCCAAACAGAGCATGATAAATTTGAATCTTTCCTTTTGTAGGTAAAACGGAGCGACAGTGACCGATAATGCCAGCTACCTTTGACAATTTTGTGAATTAGGAATTCTATACGATGATCCCATTGCATATACTTCGAAAAATTTGCGCCTAGCGTTTTATGATGGCTTACCATTTCAATCTGGGTGCTACCAATTTTAAGCGCCTGATTAGTATCAATGTTCATTCACTGGTCTAAAAAACAATCGCTTTCGTTTTAGTAGTATTTATTTCAAGGCCGTTTTGTTCTGATCATAAATAAACTTCCACAAGACAGCATTACCTTTAGTTATCAGTTCATCAATATTCATCGCAGTAAAGAAAATACTAGAATCATCGGCATACATTATGAAACGTGAGCGTTGACAGATGTTGACGATGTCATTAATATGCACATTGAAGAAAAGTGGGCCAAGTATACTGCCCTATGGAACACCAGACTTCATAGCGCAACGAAAAAATATAGTCATTTATTAAGACACACTGCTTGCGATATTCTAGGTATGAATGAATAAGTCATAAAGACGTGCCCCGTACACAATGATTGGAAAGGTTATCAATGAGCGTTGTATGGTTAAGATAATCGAAAGCTTGGCTAAAGTCGATAAAAAAAAACTACCAGTGTCAAGTTTCAACAGTCTTTTCTCTGTATTTCCTAATATTATTTTTAAATAACAAAGCACATTCTGTGGACTTCCCCCCCTTGCGGAAACGAATCTGAAAGTTAGTTAACATTGAATGTGCAACATAAAAAACTCGTAGAAACGACGCAAAATAGTTTTTTCTAGCCCTTTAGAAAACATGGGTAGTACAGGTTCATAATTTGTAACTACATTTCTGTCACCTCCCTTATGCAAAACGGAAACCTTTGCGAGTTTCATGGAATTTGGGAACTTGCCAGCTGACAAGGCCAAGGTTAAATGTGTACACCAACACTGGGGCAATTATAAATTTAGCGGTCTTTATTTGCATGCCATCAATGTCGTGACTTCTGGTATTACTAAGTCCCGTAAATACACTAAACACTGCTGATTCGTCCCTAGAGGCCAGAAAGAGAGTCGCCTACTCGACTCGAGATAAACGGGGAAGCACACTCACTGAGTGTGCTGGAACGTGAGCTGACGAGGTGGCGGTTAAAATACGGAGCGCTGTATTCCTGACACTCCTTCACCAGATATGGAAAGCGCATCTATCGGTTTCTTTTGATTGCTGCGTTGAACAACTTCGTTTATAGACTGCCATACAACTGCGGGGCGCTTTTTGTGCGTGTGATGAAAAAGACGTTTGTGATAATTTGACTTTGCCTTTTTAAGTGCGGATGTAAGTTGATCACGATATTTCTTGAAGGCAGTAATATCACGGTCATCTCTCGCGAGGGATTCTTTTTCCCGTATCATTGTTAAATATTTGGGGTAACCCATGGTTCCCTTAATCGCTTTTTAACCCTGACCGTCTTATACGGGAAAGATGCAACGTAAATCGACTTTAACTTACTCATCAATTTAGGCGGAGGACTATAGCCTTTTCTGAAAAAGAGGTATAACGTCACGGACGAAGCGTACAAACTTTTCCCGCTAAATTTAGCGAACAATGCTTCCGCTGGAGCCTCGTCTAATGGCAAACCTCAATCGAATTTCCGTTCATAGGAGTTTGTCGGGAGCCTAAACATTAATTGCCACTTTTTTTTTTCGCTTCTTCACGCGTATATTTATTCTATTCCCCATACACTTTACAATTAATTATTCTAAGTATGTATCTGTCCGTGAAACAGGCACGTAGCCAGGGGGGGGGGATCGTCAATTTCGCTGGGACCTCCTCTCCCCCCTCCCCCTCGTACAGCATTTTGTCATGGGCGGGCCCCCCGCGAAACAAAATCCTGGCTACGTGCCTGCCGTGAAACAAAAATAACCAATAAAAAACATTATTCACATTGTCCACATAGTGTAACAAAGGGTAAGAGGAAATACGAGCGCTACAATGTCGTTTGTGAGCTTTATAAGCTCCGTAGCAGAACAATTGGCGGCCAGTACACACAGCAGCTGATGATGAGAGCGACTGCAATCCTTTTCGTATGCGCATTAGCGCTCCAAGGTAAGGTGTTACCAAATATTGCATGTTGTTTCTATACTTCTGCCATCTACACAACGCGGTAATGTCACCGTGGATGGTCGGTCAACATAAGAATTTCTCATAAAAATTAGCAACGGATGTCAAAGTATACAAAAGGGTGGATATTGTGCAGCAAACTTAGTGAAGGTTATGCTGACTAAAAACATGTTTTTTTTGTGTGTGTGTTTTTTTCCACGACGGTACGTTTGCATTCCTTATTTTAAGGCCGTAGACTTTCCGGATTAACTGAATAACATCGATAAGCATAAGCCAATGTCTAAAACACAAAAATTGGTTAAAACAAACAAAGAATTAAAAAAAAATCTGGTTATGTGTGTTTGAAGACTATTCTTTGTCGAAACTCTCCTCTCTTGGACATTCTTCTGGCGCATGATCTTACCTTGGATCAAGCACCCTGTACGTTCTGAATCAGACGCACGTCTGAACCTGGAGGACAGTGGCATAAGAGTTAGGTCAGTCACCACAAATTGTCACAAAGCCTTTGTTTTTATTCAGGTCAGAGCTGGACGACAGTGATCAAAACTACACTGGCTTTCGTTATCGGTTAAATGTTGCGACAGAAAGAAGCGGGCGGTAGTGGATAAAAAGAAAATAAAAAAAACTCCGCATGGCTACGTCAAAGAGTACTCGTACTTTAACACGTATTCTTACTCGTTGTTTGTCGTCGGCAAGCAATGTCGCATTACGGTAACTGTGAAGCGTTATTAGATTGTATGCAAGCTATAAATTAAAGCTGAACCCTTAGTTTTTCATGAGCTTGTTTTTGTATTCATCGGCAAATTTGGTCACCAATAATAATCAATGTTTTAACGTGCGTGCAATACAGATCGCTGATATACAAAGTTCGTGTTTTTTTTTTGTTTTTTTTTAATTATTAAACACCGAGAAACACCAGCAGATTTTACTTTCACATAAACACCGGAAAACCGTTCACCTGCTTGCGTTCGATGCTGCTGCACTTTTGAACCTTTCACTTGCTTTCAAACGCAGCTGTTTGCGGCAAATCTTCAACCGATATTCCACGTTAGGGTTGCGCAATTGGAGACAAGAGATACCGTAGAGGCCGACAGACTAACCCGTATAAATGAGTGTCGATTTATAACGCAGAGTCGCCCTTGAAATAAACGACAAAGACAAGAGATCCTTATCGTTCACAAAAAATTGTATTTAATAAGACACGTTTATTTCATAAGACAATTCCACACACATGATAAACGTTCGAAACTTAATGTGCCAATTCAGCATGCCCAAGAAACGCCCAAGCATTGCGGAAGGCAAGGACTTATTAGTAGGAAGGAAGTTAACGACCCCATTGGATAACCTTTTCGCCGCGTCACTTTTCGTGACTAACGTTCATAATCAAATGTACTCCTCACTGCATAAAAAAAAAAACGAAAAAAGATGAAACCCACAAGAAAAAAAAAAAGTGGAACTAAAGCACAGCCTCATTCCGTATTGCTAATTTCTATCGGGCACCCGGTCGGTATGGGAAAAGCTTCCCATACCGACCGGGCAATAAAGTTTGGTCAGAAAAATCATTTTTGTAATTCTCAGACGGTCCGCGGTCATTGGACCCGATGTTGAGCATCCGAGCGCCCTGCCAAACTGCAATGCAGCGCTCGTTCTGCTTAATCATTCGATGGCATGACCTGCTCACAGTTGTCCTTGTCGGCCATTGCAGTTACGCCCAGACTTGCTACTTTCGTTCTTGTCGCCCAACCCAGCTACGTCATATTTCAAGATAGCAACCGTAACACGAAAACGGTCTGTAGTACAGTTGGTTCACTTCCTTCCTGTTGTTATTGCTCCGCAGTTTAATTGGGTTAATTCTAATTCAAGCGATATGCAACTGCCGAAATACACTGAACTGTATCGTTCTTTTTCTGTTGCAGGAGTTCTCAATGAGGAATTGAATTTGGCTGATGCTGAAGGCGAGGGTATGAGGTCAAAAACAGATGCACCCGTGTGTAGCTGTAACTTTGTGTTCATAGGTCAACAGATTACTTATTTTAGTCTCGCGACCCCAAAACGAGTCAAGTAATGTTGCATAATAAAAAAAGAAAATATCTAACACGACAATGTTTTTAACCCTGGAGAGTGCACGGAAACAGGACGACTGTCCCCCTTATTCCCCCACCTCTCCAGGGTTTATAATGCCAGTTCTTAATCAGCTCCGTCTGCACCTTTGCATTTACTTCATTAATACGACGATTTCTCCCCATGTAACAAAATTAGACTCTCGTTTTATTTCGTGTCTTTCTCTGTTTATTTTTGAGTTGGCAACAATTCCGATTGCGCCAGATCAAGCTTTGAGTGAATGCACATAGAGGTACAAGAGTGTAGCTACCTTTTCTTACTGCCTGAAGAGCAACAGAGAAATTTTGTATACGTGGTTCACTGTATTTTGTTATCCTTGTCCAGATCAAACTACTGATACTGCAACGGTCGTGAAGGATCGTAAGAATGGTAAGCATAACACGGCCAAACCAAGGTTTCACGCGTTGAAAAATACTTTTGGACGTTTGCTCGGTTCAAAGACGAGGTAAAGGAGGATTCTAGGAATGACACGTTATTTATAATAAAATTAAAATAAACGTTTTCTTTTTCTTTTTTTCTTTTTTTTTTTTTTTGTATTGGCATCATGAACTGTACTTGGGAGCAGCCACGGGAGCAGCTGAAACAGCCGTTTTAGAGCAGGTTTGGGAGCAGCTTAAACTACATTCTGGAGCAGCTCAGATCAGTTTGCATTGCACTTCAGCTTGTGTCTTAGACAAGCACGGGAGCAATTTCAATTGTGCTTAGGAGCAGAGATGAACATCAGTGGTTAGGGATCCAGGTAGATGGGATAACAGTGTAATAGATGCGAAAACTTGAAACTTTGTGAGCCTTAATCAGAATCAAAAAGCAAGTACTCTATGTTTCTGAAGATAGCGTCCTTGATATTTTCTGAGTGGCTTTCAGATGCTCAAGATGCAAACCAGCACTGCTTATCGCACAACCCACACGTGATTGACATAGTAATTACATGTGCGAACCACGTGACATGCGTAAACAACGGACATGCAGTTGCACGGAGGAGCAGGGCAACAAATTTCGAGTTTATCCTATTGTGCAACTCGGTATCGAAGCAGCAGGCTACGATTAACGAAGTTATCGTACTTGAAGCGATAAGCAGGAGCAAGGTTAAAGTACGCCGAGCAGATAAGTAGAGCTGCTGGCCGGCAAGGTAAGAGCTGCTGGCCGGCAAGGTTTCGGATCGGACCGCGTTTCAGTCCTATCAAATCGCGATTTATCTTGCGAGAATGCGGTTCAAACTCCTAAGGATGAAGTACTAAAAGGAATCTTTTGCTCATTTGCTTTCGACTGGATGACGTCCGGATCCCGGGCCGCAGAGCCTCATGCAATCTGATGCTTAACGACTCGACCTCACCTCGGCCGCCTTGCCCTACCGCTTATGGTTGAAGAATAACAATCCAGTCGCAGGTGGTGTAGCGCTTAGAATCCGAGTTTTTTTCGCGCGCTTCCGACTCGGGATAGACAGGGGGAATAAACACAACAAAGGATTACAAGGCCGACCAGGCTAATCGCCCTCATTGTTGCCAATCAAGTCGATAGAAACCGAAACTAAGACGAAATAAAGAGTTTTTTGGCGCACGTTTTGCGATTTGGCGTATAATGGCGCGAGGTATTGGCTGTGGCGCAGTTTCTGCAACATGGCGCAGGATGGCGCAGACACATGCGTCTGGCGCAAAATGGCGCAAATGGCGCAGCCGTTCCACCCCTGGCATTACTTCTGCCGACGGCAAAAAGATGGATAACAAGTGTTTGACCCTTCGGAGGAAATACTTTGCATACTGTGAACGTCCCCTAGAAATAGCGAGGCCGAAGTGCTGATTTCTTACGTCAACTGCCGAAGGCCAGTGCGGGTCATATTTTGGACGCGAGAGCTTCTGCCAGCGTTCAGCCGGGACGCGCGTTCTCACCGACAAATCGCAAGTTCCAGCGGAACGCTGACATAAACCTCGTGTCTGATATCTACCCCACGCTGGCCTTTGGTAGGTGACGTAGAGAGTTCAGCACCGCGGCTTTCTATCTGGATGGTGTTGACACTGTGCAAGCGGAGGACAGAGCTATATGCGCAGTGCAGCGCCGTAAAACCACGAAACAGATATAACGAACCATTACTACGAACGATATTACATCGCAGCCCCTCTTCTTTTAGTCAATAAATACTACCGGCCTGCGGAAAAAAAAACACGAATGTTACGTCATCAATATTACCTATTACTGACTTTAATGTCGGGCTTCCGTCGCATCAAGACTGCGTGCCACCACATCATACGCAAGAACGTTCAATGAATGTTCTGACAAGGCATCGTGGCGGTTTTGTTAATCGCAGCTGAAAGTTCGTGGCATAAATCATTAACTTAAATTTCCATCCTTCAGTGTATTTTATTATTACTCTTCAATTACAGCAACCAATATAGAACCGCCTGTCATTGAGGATGGCAAAGGTAAGCAAATATAAAGACAAACGAAAATCGTTTGTTTTCTTTTCTTTTTTTTTTTTTTTTTGCATTGAGCAGATTTTTATAGGAAGCTGTAAAGCTGGGCACGTACAAGTGACGATTCTTGTGCCGGATCTGTATATATATTTGTTTGACATGCGTTTTGAAGCGTTTGGTTTAGTGATATGCAGATATCAACACGGTTTTGCGAACAACATTATCCGCCGCACCTGTTTCTTTCGTTACAACCCCAAATTCGCAAAAATAAATTAGTGTAACTGAATCTAGTATATTTAAAATAATTCGTTGTACCTACCAATCTGGAAAGCCCTGACGATACCGCCGTCATGCTACGACGTAATTAAAGCTTGACACTGAAGAAGAATACGAGGATAAACATAAACCGAACGGGCTGTGTTTGAGGCATCGTGTTGTTATGACAAGGCATCGTGGCCCTTTTGGCAATCGGAGCTGAAAGTTCCTGGCACATATCATAGTGTACACATGCACATGGGATGAAATATCCATCTTCAATGTATTTTATTAATACCCTTCAATTACAGAAACCGACAGTGAGCCACCTTTCATTGATGATGAGGAAGGTAAGCAAACAATAAAACAAACGAAAAGCACTATTTTTTTTTTTTTTTGACATGGCTTGGTGGCGCTTTTATCAATCGCAGCTGAAAGTTCATGGCATCGATCATTGTGTACACATCACGCACGTAGCCAGGATTTTGATCGGGGGGGGGGGGGGGGGGGGGGGTGTTGCCCGTGAGGAACTGCTGTATGATGAGGAGGGGGGAGAGAAGGCCCCGGCAAAATGAAAGATTTCGGCCGGGCCTTATGCCACTACCGCCGCCACCCCCCCTCCCCTCCCCTCCCCTCCCCTCCCCTACCCTACCCTACCCTACCCTACCCTCCCCTTCCCCCCCCCCCCCCCTGGCTACGTGCCTGATGCCCATGTGTATGGGCTCATGTTTATTCAACAAGGTTTCCATCTTCAACGTATTTTATTATTACTCTTCAATTACAGAAATCGATGGTGAACCGCCTGTCATTGAGGATGTGGAAGGTAAGCAAACATAACGAACAAATATTTTTTTTTTACTTGGACAGAATTTTATAGGAGGTCGTAAAGCTGGGCACGAACAAAGTGACGATGTTTGTGCCGGATCCGTATATATGTTTGTTTCACATGCGTTTTGAAGCGTTTGGTCTAGTGATATGCAGATATTGTCACGAATGACAAGTGATGAGGCGGTGAATAACTGAGTAAACTGAACTTTTAATGGGCCGAACTTGTGCCCAAAAACAAAAGGAAAACGAAAGATAACAGCAGAGCGTCGCGGGCGTCGAAGGCGGTGAAGCAGCAGGATCGAACGCTGAGGCGAAACTGACTCGACAAGGTCACGGGCGGCCTCTTATCTAGAGTGAGTCACTATCTCGAAGATTCGGCGGGGAAGGTTCGAGCGTAGCGCGCCTGGGGCGAGAATGAACACGCACTTTCTAGAACAACAAAAGCAGGGATAAACGATAGAAGTTACGTTCGCAGCAAGAATAAACGAGAACCTTCTGCAAGTCCTGCGCGCGGCGTCCCGATGCAGTACAAACCGAAAACAAAGCGAACAGAAATAACGGTAAACTAAAGAGTCATTTGGAACACATAAGGTCCACAGTCCTATCGACCGTAGTACGGCTTCATGCGCACGACGTGGACGACTTCTGGTCTTGGAGGGCGGCATGATGAAGTCCGTGCTCAGTCGGCCATCACCTCGTAGTTCAGATCCCCGAGTAGACGAAGCACTTTGTAGGGTCCAAAGTAGCGCTTCAGTAGTTTCTCGCTGAGACCACGGCGGCGGATCGGTGTCCACACCCACACCAGGTCTCCGGGTTGAAAATGGACGTCCCGGCGACGAAGGTTATACCGGCGTGCGTCGACTCGCTGTTGCTCTTGAATCTTGATTCTTGCCAGTTGACGAGCTTCCTCCGCGCGTTGAGAGATCAGTTGAGCTTCGTCGTTGCCATCATCGGTTGGCACGTGCGGCAGCATGGCGTCCAGCATCGTGGTAACCGTCCGGCCGTGTACCAGCTGGAACGGCGTCATTCCTGTGGTTTCTTGTACCGCTGTGTTGTACGCAAATGTAACGTACGGCAACACCTCGTCCCACGTCTTGTGCTCCACGTCGACGTACATGGAGACCATGTCGGCGATGGTCTTGTTCAGCCGCTCTGTTAGCCCGTTGGTCTGCGGGTGATAAGCGGTGGTTCGCCGATGGCTGGTGTGACTGAGCCGAAGTGCCTCTTGAGTCAGCTGTGCCAGGAAAGATGAACCTCGATCTGTGATCAGCACTTCAGGTGCGCCGTGTCGAAGGAGAATGGACTCGACGAAAAACTTGGCGACTTCCACCGCTGTTCCCGATGGAAGGGCTTTCGTCTCGGCGTATCGTGTAAGGTAATCAGTCGCGACAATAATCCACCGGTTTCCTTGCGTCGATGTTGGAAACGGCCCAAGCAAATCCATTCCGACCTGCTGGAAGGGCGTAGTCGGGGCAGAGATCGGATGCAGGAGTCCTGCTGGCTATGTCGGAGGCTTCTTACGTCGTTGGCACTCATGGCACGACCATGTGTAAAGATGGACGGTTCTCGGGAGCCTCGGCCAATACAGTGTAATCCACTTATAACGATACCAGATATAACGATATATCGCTTATAGCGATCAAATTTTTTAGATTTGTCAATTCTCCCATCGCCCCTATGTAAAAATAAACCATATATAACGATAGAATTATCGGCGACATATCGGATACAACGATAGAATTCTGGCCGCCCGGAAGGTGCTTATCACGAAAAATTTGCCTGGAAATTTGAGAAAAATTAAAATACTTGAAGCGAACGACATGAAAACTAGTAAAAATATCAAAAACCGGTCGGCGTGGAAAGATCCGCTAGGTGACGCGAGGCGCCGCCCGATTTAAAAAGTTCAGCCTCATCCTTCGGAACTAAGTGCTATCGTCATCGCAATCGCTGAAGGGAGGAGAGAAAGAGCTTGCTTGGCCGCCGCCGCGCAACGCTTCCTAGTTTTCCCCCGTTTCCGCACGTTCGTACGTTCGTGAGGTAAAAATGGCGCCGACTAAGCGCAAAGCGATATCTCTGGAGGTGAAGCAGCGAATTCACCGGGATTTCCGACAAGGATTCAAGGTTGGTAGCCTCGCAAAAAGATACGAGCTGTCTCAATCAACGATTTCTACAATCATCAAGGCTGGAGATGTCTTGAAGAAGGCTGGCACCAGCGGTCACGACGACCAGCGAAAGCGGGTTAGGGATCCTTTGTACGGCGACGTTGAAGACTCCCTGTACCAGTGGTTCTTGACCACTCGCAACCGGAACGTGCCCATAAGTGGACCTATTCTTGCCGCAAAGGCGAAGAAATTTGCTTCCCTTCTGGGACGGGAAAACTTCGAACCCGGCGGAGGATGGATTCAGCGGTTCAAGGATCGCCACGGCATCGTTTATAAAAACGTCGTCGGGGAGGCTGCCTCGCTGGACGTAAATGCGAAAGACGAATGGCTGGCGACGAAATTACCCGAGCTGTTGGAGCGCTTCCAAGAAAGTGACATTTTCAACGGCGATGAAACAGCACTCTTTTATGAGATGCTGCCTACAAAGACGCACGCGCTGAAAGGTGACCCGTGCGTTGGTGGCAAACATAGCAAGGTCCGGGTGACGGTGTTTGTGTGCGCAAACATGGACGGTACCGAGCGTCTCAAGCCCTTTGTGATCGGGAAATCGAAAAGGCCTCACTGCTTTAGGAATCAATGCATTCCAGTCCGCTATCGAAATAACAAGAAAGCGTGGATGACGCGAGATCTCTTTGAGGAATGGCTCCTCGAGTTTGACGGCGCTATGGAGAAGCAGAAGAGGAAAGTGGTGCTGCTCCTCGACAACTGCAGCGCACACAACGTCAGCCCGAAGCTAACGTCCGTTGAGGTAATGTTTCTGCCTCCGAACACCACGGCAGGTCTGCAGCCCATGGATGCCGGCGTAATCGCCAATTTCAAGGCCCTCTACAGACGTCGCATGCTGGAATGGCTCATCATGAAACTAGACTGCTCAGGATTGTCTCAATACGCCGGCGGACCTCCTGACCTGAAGGTGAGCTTGTTAGAAGCGGTGCGGTTCGTGCATGGTGCGTGGTATGAGGTGAAGCAGGTTACACTCAAGAACTGTTTTAAAAAGGCAGGCTTCGTGCGCCACAACGCCACGGTCTCGGAAGAGACAAATGACTTGCTCATCGAACCTGCCGATGTGGGTGAACTTTGGGACCACATAGCAGCTTCCGAGGAGAACATCGGCGGAGCTCTCTTGGGAGACTTTTTGAACGCGGACAACGCTGCCGCTTCATGCGAGGAGTCTACTGATGAGGCCATTGCCGAGGAACAGCAATCGCGACGAAAAATCACATCGAGCGACTGCGAAAGTAGTGACGACGACGGCGGCGACGAGAACACCCCGCCTCCAATGTCTTCACAAAATGCCCTGCTCTCCATCCAGTCGCTGGTCGGTTTTGTGCACGCAAAAGGACTGCCGCCAGCGTACGCGCAACAACTGGAAGCAATGCACACGGCAATTGTCAAACTTCAGCTCAAGCAAGCGCAAATTTCCGACTTTTTTAAGCATGCTTAAATTATTTTATAGTCATTTTCGTACCTTTTAATAAAGCCTTCGGTTTTCTTTGCCTCGGCTCGCGTTGTACGACCTGATTCACTCATCGCCCGTAAGTAACTTCTCTTTGTGTTTTTTTTTTGTCGGTCCAGATATAACGATAATCGGCTATAACGATTGGATTTTGCGGTTTTCTCAATATCGTTATAAGTGGACTGCACTGTAGTACTTGTCACGAATCCGGGCGAGCGTCCTGCTGTAGCCAAGGTGTCCAGCCGTCGGGTCGTCATGGCATGCTTGAACGATTTCTTCTCGCAGGCTGGCCGGAACAACCAGCAGCC